AAAACCAAGATGTAAAATGATATGAATAAAGTACAAATGTAATAAACAGGAATGTAAAAGGTTAAAATATGTACACAAATTTAACTTAACCTAACCAAAATTAACCTAACTACAATAAAAAACAAAATAACAGGATTTACAAATAACAAGTTATGCGCCAAAAAATGGGTCAAGTAGGTCTAAAAAAAAACGGAGTGACAGACCAAGGGACACAACCACAAACAAAACCTTAAATGCCCCTAAACAAAAGTCACATAAACCTACAAACAGAATTGAGTGACAACTAAAAAGTCACAAATTTAGACTTACAAAACCAAGTGAGACACAGATACTGAAAGGCATACTGGCCACAAAGACCAGCAGCCCGTAACTTAAATAGGGTGGTTTGGTGGTTGCGGTTGAGGTGGGACTGGACTGGTGAAGCCATACCCCACTGATCAGGGACCAGAATGCAGCAGCCAACCAAGACCAGGCAGGAGAGCAGTTCACCAATCAGCAGCAAGGGTTCCCGCAGCAGAAATCCACAGGGACAGCAAAAAGAAATCAGCTCTATAGATGCATCAAAAATCTCGGACTTCTGGTCACTGCGCAATGCATACTGCGAAGGATTTTCTGAAAAATTTAGCATCAAACCGCAATGTTTGTTTTCCCAGTGGGATTCGTCTATTGACAAAGCCGATCTTTTCTAGTCTTTTGAACCATATCACTTTTGTTTCTGGTTCTGATATTGTCATATTTTAGTTTTGGGATTCGGACATCGTAATTGTGTGGTTGTTGGATCCTAACAGCAGAAAACGACTTGAGAAACTTGTTTCTGAACTCCATCAATGCAAAAGGGAATCAGATCTATGTGACTGCAAACACTTGTTCAAACTGTTTCGCTTCCCAACAGAATAGAAAAATAGTGAAAGGCGACGGGCAGTATTGATCCAGAGAAAGGACGAAAAAGGAAACCTTTGACTGCCTAAATCATCCAGAGTTTGCATCGAACATTTTGTATGTGGAGCACCAACAAATCAAAATACCGATCCCTCGCTCAGCCTTGGTTATGAATTTAAAAAGTCAACGCCAAAGCGAAAGGCACCAGCTGTTCGCCAAGAAACACCTTCCACTGCAAAGTGACCAAGACATCATGTTGCTGTAAAACCACAAGAACAAGAAAGTGCGAGCTCGGCCTGTTTGTCTTCTGCACCTCTCGCTTAACATAAATCAAATCAAATCAAATCAAACTTTATTTATAAAGCACTTTTCATACAAAATGCAACACAAAGTGCTTTACAGTGATTAAAAACAGTCCCGCATTTCCAACCACCCAACCACCCACCCACCAACCCAACCCCCGCACCCCCAACCCCACATAGTCAAACAACCCAAACACACACACTCACATACACACAAACATGCACACACACACACACACACACACTCACACTCACACGCTAAAATACATAACCGGACACAATAAAATGTGAGGCTGAATACAGGCGAACCAGTTGAGAACAAATGGGATCCCGCTTTGATGGCGCTCCACATACAAAAAAGGCAGTCGTCTTTCCTGTGTATCAAAACTGCCCATCACCTTCGCCTTTCACTGTTATTCAATTCCGTTGGGAAGGGAAACAGTTTAAACAGAGGTTTGCAGTCACACAGATCTGATTCCCTTTTGCATTTATGGAGTTTGCAAACAAATTTCTCGAGCCGTTTTCCGCTGTTAGGATCCAACAACCACACAATTACGATGTCCGAATCCCAAAACTAAAATATGACAATATCAGAACCAGCAACAAAAGTGATATGGTTCAAAAGACTTGAAAAGACTGGCTCTGTCAATAGACGCATCCCACTGGGAAAACAAACATGGCGGTTTGATGCTCACTTTTTCAGAAAATCCTTTCCAGTGTGCATAACCGGAAGTCCGAGATTTTTGATACATCTATTCACAATTATGTCACAAACCAGGAAGACATTTAGAAACATGCTATGACAACTTCCAATGGGTTCTGTTCATGGTAGTCAAATCAAAATCTAGGAAAAATTAGAAAATAGTCCAGTTTTCTTCATTTACATGTCATTGTAGAGTTCCGTTATATTCGGCTAATCAACATTTATAACCATACCTCAGTTTTCATCATTTCCACCACAAATCTAAGTGCACTGGGTACATGAAGCACCAAATTCAAGATGATTCCAAACAACTCATACGTACTCGGTCTTCATTTTACCGCTGATCACATTTACTGCATTGGGTTTCATGACAGGCGGTAGGTACGCTGGAAGTTGTCATCGCATGTTTCCATATGTCTTTCTGGTTTCTGACGTTAAGCGTGAATAGTAAACAAGAAACTCACAGAAAACAAGTTAGAGAACTGGAGGCCTGGGGCTGTAACAGGTCCTATGAGTTTCAGTCAGCAAGTGAAATTTGAAACCTAAAAAAATACCAAACTGAGAATTTCTTTTGTTTATTGTAAATTATTAATATTATACATGAATGATTTTGTTAAAGTTTCTGAGCTTGCGGATGACACAACATTATTTTACTCTGGAAAAGACATAAAAGAGGTCACAAGTAAAGTTAACAAAGAGCTAAGAAAAGTAAAATATTGGTTTGAGTTAAATGGATTGATTCTTAAAGGCAAAATTGCTGTGCTGCGTAAAGTAAACTAAAGTTTAAGTTTAAAGATTTTTTGAAAAATCTTATATAAAATTGTCTTAACTGAGTTTTAGTAAAATGAGTGATACAACATGTCCTTGGAACTTTAATTAAGTAGTTACTAAGCCTAAATCATTCTTAAGAAACTTTGTTCATGTAGTCTAATTAATGTGATACCTAAAAGCCAGATTAATTGAATTCTAAAAATGTGATATTGCAAGCACTAATTCAAAGCAACTGCAAGAAACCCCAAAACTGCAACCTCTGCAAGTTATCTGATGTATTTGTGTCTCATCTCCATCAAAATGTGCTCTTATTTCCTATTGTGTACTCCTACAATACTGTACAGTAATCTCTAAAACGGAAACGTGCCTTATTGCCTCCTACACTTTAAGTGCATTCACACTCTGCACTTTATACTGGTTAATATTATGAGAACATTTGCACAGTTTAGTTTCACCACTGAATGTCACCACACACTTTTGTCCAGATGAGCAGATAAGAGCTGTGAAGGTTAAACCACATACAGTATGTTTCTGTACTGTAAATGGTGCAGACACCCTGATCACACGTGGTAAAGCCTGTGCACAGCTGAAAACATCTTTAAAAGCGTTAGAGTTTAAAGTGTGAAAACCAAGTTGACCGTATACGCGCTGTTTGTATTAAGGGAATACAAATGTTTGCTAACAGATTGTAGTTACGAAAGTCAAATATATTCAGTCAAGCATATTAAATGTAGTGATACTTCCTTGTTACTGACTGATCTTGGAACATAAGCTGGTTAGTATGTGAATAGGAGACCACTGTGAATATCTGTGAGACATTGCTCTTGTGTTCTTTGGCAAGACACTTCACCCACCTTGCCTAGTATGAATGTCTTGAGTAATAATAATAGCACTGCTATCTCGTGGGCCTCCGCCGTGTCCTGATGCAAAACAGTGCAGTGCAGGACACATTTTGAAAGTGGGAATGGGATTGCACACTGCGGGAGCAGGCGGGTGTGATGATAAACTGCAGTGATGCAAACTAAATATGAATGTAAAGTAAAATATACAAATGATTCATGTAAGCCTATCATACATCATTTGTGCTGGATATTTTATTTGGCATTAATAAAAATATTTTAAGTGGTCTAAACTCACGCACATTTTAGACAATTCCTTTCCCTTCTCCATGTTTGACAGAGGTTAAGAAAGATGGGGATCTTGCTGGATTTGTGTGGGGGAGAGGGACAAAATATTGCAGATGCAGGCGGGAGCAGGACTTCACAATGCAGGTGCGGGCGGGAATGGGACTCAAATTTCTGTCCAGCGCAGATCTCTAGCTCGGGGTTCTCCCTCTCTCTCTCAAGTCCAAGATTAGTCCTGGTTTAGTCCTGATTAGTCCTGGTTTATTCTTGATTAGTCCTGATTAGTCCTGGTTTAGTCCTGATTAGTCCTGGTTTAGACCTGGTTTAGTCCAGTGACCTACTGATGTTCAGTGATGTTAAAAGTAGCCTCAGTTATGACTGCATGAATTTGGAAATTATTTACTATTATTAAAAATAATTTATGAATGCACTTAAAAAATGAAAATAAGTTTTACTTGCATTTTGACAAAGAGATCACGCATATGTTTTGGAAAGATACTTGAGTAACAATAAGACAACTGTATATACAAGACAAAATCAATACAATAATGACTTTTATTTTAAGTTAATAACAATTCCATAACTAGAAAATATTCTGTTACTGGTGTACTACTGCTCAAACATTATAACCAATTTCAGCTGTCTTTAAAAAATCTAAATCTGAAAATTTTAATCACAAAGGAGAAAAACAGCAGATCATCATCATGTGTTTGGTGTGATGCTTCAGGTCACAGTTTAAAATGATGATTTGGTGGATCAAAGCGTCTCCAGTCCTGAGGCACAGTCTCTTCAGTTTCCTCTTTGATATCTTTAAACTTGCCTGCAGTTCTGTATCAGTGGGACTGTCTGTCTGTGTGTGTAAACACTGTGACTATATCTCTTTAACCAAAAACACCAAACATGCAACCAAAAACAAGCTAGAGTAGACTACAGGTTACTCCACAGATCATTGTACCCAAGTTCGGGCTCATTTAGGGTTATTAATCATGTTTTAATGTTCACCTTATAAAAACACTCATGATGTTTGGTTTATTCCTCACATGTTGTGATGAGAAAACAACATTATAACACAGATCAGAGATTAGTGTTATATGGACCCTTTAAAGTTTATATATTTCTGGTTCTAAATCTTTTTTCCTATAAGCTGCATAGATGTTCACACAAATCATTCCGAATAACACATCTGTTTACATATAATTCTCTGTTTGTCTTTTAACTCAGATGACCAACACTGAAGAAACTACAGTGACATGAACTTCCTGTAGCCATCATGGACGCCTCTGAGAAGCAGCCGTCTTGATTTGGGATTCACTGTGAGACTTTAATACTAAGATGAACCAGAGCTGTGCCAGCACTGAGGACTTCAGGACATACCAGCACTACCTGTACGCTGTGGTCTACAGCGTGATCCTGGCGCCGGGGCTGCTGGGTAATGTGCTGGCACTCTGGGTCTTCAGAGTCTATATCAGAGAGACCAAGAAGGCTGTGGTGTTTATGATGAACCTGGCTGTGGCCGACCTCCTGCAGGTAAAGTCTATTATGGAACATTTCAGAAATGCTGTGTGGCTATTGGAACTATGGGTGAAGATGCTTTGTCGGGAATGTTCCACAGTATGAAATTAAATGAATGCATCTCCATGGAGACAAACAGATGACACCTTCAGACCCAGTTATAGAGCAGATCACAGTAAGAAGGCTTGTTTATCAAGGCATTTTTGAACAACATAAAACACGTACAATGTTTGACAGATGTTTAATGCCACACTATGGTACATTCCAGACCAAGTCCACACCATCTCCATGGAGACAATCAGATAGCGTGCCCTCTACCAGGAAAGTGAAATTGTGTAACTTTAACAAAGTCACCAAAATAGTTAATGAATAAGTGCTGCAACAACATAATCACATTTATCAAGACGAATCCACTGAAAAAACCTACACAACTAATTTAAATGTGATCTGTGTACAACCAGCTTGTTGCCATGGAGATGTTCTTGCTTTAACTGAAATTTTGCACAGCATTGCCTGTGGATGTATGTATGTATCTCCAAGGAGACAAATGCAAGTGTTTTGGGGCATAAAAAAGAAACGCAATTGTATAAATTAAATATATGATTAATGCCATAGGTTTCATTAACAATGAAGAACTTAAACTGAAGGAAACCTTTATATTTTGTAATTTTGTAATTTTATAGTCAGAGTTCAAATTTAATTAAATATATATTGTTGATCATTTTAACATGGTGCATCATTTCCAACAATCATTTTTTTTATTTATTTATTACATATTTTTGGTTCAAGTTAACAGTTCACTTCAGTTAAATTTTGTTTAGTTTATAAAACTTAATTTATCCCTGAGGGACATTTATGTTTGCAGTCACAGACAACAGCATAAAACACACACACACACACACACACACACACATTTCACACAGGTCAGGTGCTTGTACAGTTATGGGCATCAGAGTTTGCATTAGTGCAAATGAGGCACAAGGTGCATGGCCAGATACAAAGCAAGATTAGAATAGTAAACAATAGGCACAATAGAGTAAACAAGAACAATAGAGTTTAAAAAAAAATAAAAAATAAATAAATCAAACAAACATTCAAACAAAGTTAAAGGTGCACTGTGTAACTTTTCTAGTGGAGGGTCTATCATCAACTTGTCTCCATGATGATGGCACTGCTTTGCCTGGGCTGTTCCACAGTACGGCATTACACAAATATGTTGTATTTATTCAGTTACACTGTGTTTTTATTTCTCAAAACCACCACAAAATTTAGTTAAATTAAATGCCATACTGCAGAAGATTTCAGGAAAAAACAACATGGAGTTAAATAGGTAGCAGACCCTCTACCAGAAAAGTGACACCGTACATCCTTAAATAGCCAATATGCAAATGTTAAAGGTGCACTGTGCAACTTTTCTGCTGGAAGGTCATCTGCTTGTCCCCATGGAAATACAGTTGATGATGTCTTGTAGTATGGCATTACACATCTCCATGGAGGTGACGCCACTAGGCCAAGTTACAGGTCAGATCTGTGGGTAAGTGACCCTGCTCTCAGTAAGAATGCATGTTTTTCCAGACAATAAAATGCTCTTGTAATTTAATAAATGCAAGTAATATATGTATAATGCAATACTGTGGAACATTTTAGGAAAAGCAATAACTTCTCCATGGATACAAGCAGGTGATGGATCCTCCCCCATAAATGTGACAGAGTGCACATTTAACTATTTTCTCTTAGCTGAGACATTTGTTTGGTTAGCTAAACAAATCTTTGGACAACACCAGCTCCATCTAAACCATGTCACTTTTTATGGCAGCTGTAATTTCCTGTGGGACATTAATGAACTAATCAATCTGTTTTATGGTTACTTGTTTATTTACACTGATTTAGTGAAATCTATGAGAAAGTGCACAGGAAATAGGGACAGTAAATCACTCAGATTGTTTTGAATATTGTTGATAGAAAACCATTTGAACCAAACAGCAGAGCACTTTTTAGAAAAACACAAAACTAATGATAAATCAGTTTAAGTAGAGGACTAGGCAACTAAAGACAAAGAGGCATTTTTCTGCCATTTTCTCTTCTCTTTTTCTCTTCTCTTTTTCCAGTATTTTCATTTGTTTATTGTTGCCACTGAAAAAGAAAGAACATTTTGTAATCATTACTCTCAGATTTATTTATTTGTGTGTGTGTGTGTGTGTGCATACGTGTGAATTTTGTTACAATATCTGTTCAAATGTGACTCTAGAGAAAAGTTGTACACAGCAAAAACTGCTAAACTGAACTGAACTGCTGAAAAAACTGAGCTAAAATTTCAGGATGAAATATTTCAGAGTTGTTTTTAAGACAAAAAAGTGTTATTTTGACTACTTAAAAGTTAAATGGGGGTTCGAGTTGGGGTTATTTGCCCGAGTTGATATGATTGAAGTTAATTCAACTTCCCCTAGTTTCCCGACCCACCACTTCAAACTCCTGCAAGAGAAGACCAGTTGGAACCAGTTTTGTACATAACTTCATCTTAAATTAACTAAAATAAAGTGTAAAAACACAGTCCCTGACAAAAGTCTTGTCGCTTATCCATTTTGTAGAAACAAAAGCTTATAACCTGACTTTAGATTAATCGATTGGTTTTAGAAATGTCTCATATGAAAGCTAAAACCCTCCCAAATTATGTTCAATATACTAAAATAAATTTGCTTCACTGAAGAAAGATTGATCATTTAATGAACACAGAAGATTTTGGCAAGACAAAAGTTTTGTCACCTACAGTAAATTGAACAAATAATTTACTTCAAATACAAAAATATGTTGCATAATGTCAGTGAATGAAGTAGTGGTGCTGTGAGATCCATATTTAATATCTTGTATGACTTCCATGAGCTTGAAGGACGCATCCATGCGGTTCGACAATGATTCATACAATTTGTTGATGAAGTCATCAGGAATAGCAAAGAAAGCGTCTTACATGCCTCCCAGAGTTCATCAAGATTCTTTGGTTTTGCCTTCCATGCTTCCTCTTTCATTCTACCCCAGACATGCTCAATGATGTTCATGTCTGGTGACTGGGCTGGCCAGTCCTGGAGCACCTTGATCTTCTTCGCCTTGAGAAACTTTGATGTAGAAATAGAAGTATGCGATGGAGCACCATCCTGCTGCAAAATTTGACCCCTTTTATGGTTGGGAATGTAAGAGGAGCTAATACTTCTTGATATTTTAGGCTATTGATATTGCCTTCCACCCTGCAAATGTCTCGCACACCCCCATACTGGATGGAACCCCAGACCAGGATTTTTCCACTACCAAAATTTAACCGTTTTCTGGGTGAATCTTGGATCCATGCGGGCTCCAGTAGGTCTCCTGCAATATTTGTTGCGGCTGTGATGTATTTCAACCCAGGATTCATCTGAGAAATCCACCTTCTGCCACTTTTCCAGTGTCCATCCTTTTATCAGGCTGTGGGACTTGGCAAATGCCACACACGTTTTTTTAATTGCCTTTTGTTTAGTGCTGGTTTCTGTGCACTGATTCGACCATGGAGGCCATTTCGAGACAGAATTCTACAAACTGTTGTGGTTGACACAGGGACTTGAGGTGACCAGGCCTGGTGGAACTCTGCTGCAGTGGAAAAGGGGCCATGGATTTTTGAATCAACAAACGGTCCTCCCGAGCAGTTGTCTTGCGGGGTCTGCCGGACCTGGGCTTGTCAAAAACATCTCCAGTCATTTCAGATCTTTTTCTTATTCTTTGTACTTGATGCTGAGACACATTGAAGGTGTCACCACCTCAGCAGTGGATCTGGTCTTCAGCCTCTTGATAATTAACGCTTTGGTCTCAGGGTGGATCTTACGGCATGTTGTCAGGGTCAAGTTGCAGTTGATGTGAAGGTCTGGTGTGCTGGGGGTCTTTTTATACACACCCACTAACTGATTGATCAGTAACTGATCACAGATGAGGCTGTAATGTAGGATTGGGTGCATCATATGACAAGGCGACAAAACTTTTGTCTTGCCAAAATCTGACCTTTCTGTGTTCATTAAATGATCAATCTTTCTTCAGTGAAGCAAATTTATTTTAGTATATTGAGCATAATTTGGGAGGGTTTTAGCTTTCATATAAGACATTTCTAAAACCAATCGATTAATTTAAAGTCAGGTTATAAGCTTTTGTTTCTATAAAATGGATAAGCGACAAGACTTTTGTCAGGGACTGTAAAACACCTTTGTGTGTTGTTGAGCTAAATCAGGATAATCATCCGTTTACTCTCAAAACATTAATATAACTCTTGATTTTGGGGTTAAACAGGAACTTTGGTCCAGTGTTACTTAATTAATGTTTCCAAAAATATAAAATTAACTCTAGAACAGACTGGACTCATATAAACCCTGAGAAAATGTTCAAATTGATTCTGTGAGAGTGAAATTTTAACACTCCTCTTTTTGCTGTGGAATAAATCACCAATGACTATCAATATTTCAACATTTTTATCTATTGAGTTTTTATCTACAGAAACATAATTGTCAACATGAATTAAAGCCCTGCTGTTTAACATCAGACACTAAATCGAGAAAATAAAAGCCTTTATCGCATTATGGGTATGAAAACATAAATCCTTATAGGTCTGTCCACACACACGTCCACTGATTCTAGTTTAAAGCCGCAGTGTGTAAAATAGATTGAAATAAAAGCATGTTTTTCTTTGTTTTGTTTTTTTCATTTTGTATGTTTTTATTGCACGTATAAAAACTTTGAGAGAGCTTGCATCTTCACAAACCTGAAGTGTTGTTTCTTTAGCTGTAATCCTGAACAGTATGGCATACAACTTATATATCTCCATAAAGAATATTCTGAAGTATGGTTTTAAATTTCTACTGAACATTACAAACATGCTGCTTTCAAAAGTTGCACCGTGTTGCTTTATGTGTGGGTGAATACACACATCAAGAATCTCGGACTTCCGGTCATTGCACAATGCATACTGGGAAGGATTTTCTGAAAAAGTGAGCATCAAACTTTCATGTTTGTTTTCCCAGTGGGATGCGTCTATTGACAAAGCCGATCTTTTCAAGTCTTTTGTTTCTGGTTCTGATATTGTCATATTTTAGTTTTGGGATTTGGACATCGTTAATTGTGTGGTTGTTGGATCCTAACAGTGGAAAACGGCTCGAGAAATTAGTTTGCAAACTCCACAAATGCAAAAGGGAATCAGATCTGTGTGAATCCAAACCTCCCTTCAAACTGTTTCCCTTCCCAACGGAATTGAAAAATAGTGAAAGGTGAAGGTGATGGGTAGGATTGATCTACGGGAAGGATGAAAAAGGAAAACTTTGACTGCCTAAAATAAATCATCCCGAGTTTGCAGTGAACATTTTGTATGTGGAGCGCCATCAAAGTGGGATCCCGTTTGTTAAGCGAGAGGTGCAGAAGACAAACAGGCCGAGCTCGCACTTTCTTATTCTTGTGGTTTTACAGCAACATCACGTCTTGGTCACTTTGCAGTGGAAGGTGTTTCTTGGTGAACAGTTGGTGCCTTTCACTTTGGCGTTGACTTTTTAAATTCGTAACCACGGCTGAGTGAGGGATCGGGATTTTGCTTTGATGGCGCTCCACATACAAAATGTTCGCTGTAAACTCAGGATGATTTAGACAGTCAAAGGTTTCCTTTTTCGTCCTTCCCGTGGATCAATACTGCCCATCGCCTTTGCCTTTTACTATTTTTCAGTTTCGTTGGGAAGGGAAACAGATTGAACAGGGGTTTGCAGTCACACAGATCTGATTCCCTTTTGCATTCATGGAGTTCGCAAACAAGTTTCTCGAGCCGTTTTCCGCTGTTAGGATCCAACAACCAAACAATTATGATGTCCGAATCCCAAAACTAAAATATGACAATATCAGAACCAGAAACAAAAGCGATATGGTTCAAAAAACTTGAAAAGATCATCTTTGTTAATAGACGCATCCCACTGGGAAAACAAAAATGGCGGTTTGATGCTCACTTTTTCTGAAAATCCTTCCCAGTATGCGATGACCGGAAATCTGACATTCTTGATGCGTGTATTGTGGGTTATGTGTGGGTTGCTGTTCGTTACATGCCTATGAAAAAATGACAAAAATACTCATTAGTCTGTGCTCTTTTTAGGTGCTATCTCTTCCACTGAGGATCTACTACTACCTGAACAACAGCTGGCCCTTCGGTCGCCCCCTCTGCATGATCTGCTTCTATCTCAAATACGTCAACATGTACGCCTCCATCTTCTTCCTGGTTTGTGTGAGTGTGCGGCGCTGCGAACTCAACATACGCCCCCTGCGGTACAACTCAGCACGGCGCAAATGGGACATACTCACTTGTGCTTTGGGATGGTTAACAGTCTGTCTGGTTTGTCTCCTCTTCCCTTTACTACGAAGCCCCAGCGCGCAAAACTCTAGTACCGACGTACTTGAAGACAGCCAGAAGTTCACTTTCGTTTGCTTTGCGGAGCTGCCGATGAGAAACCTTAACCCATCAGCTGCTTGGGCTCTATTAATCATCGCCGAACTCTCAGGATTCATAATACCTTTAGTTTTGGTGATAGCTTGCACTTGTTTAACAGCTTGGAGTTTGAGGCATCCAGCGTCAGAAGCTATCCCAGACCGCGGAGAGAAACGAAGAGCCCTGAGGATGGTGCTAAGTTGCACTGTAGTATTTCTTATCTGCTTTGTACCGTACCACGTGACGATGCCGCTAGACTTTTTGGTGAAATCAAACTTCTTGAAAAACTGTGCACTCAGAGATTTTGTGCTACGTTTTCATCCCATTACTCTGTGTCTGGCCAGTTTGAACTGTGGCCTGGACCCTCTTATGTACTACTTCATGACGGATGAGTTTTGGAGGCGGCTAAGTAAACATGAAATCCCCGATGGAGTGAATTTCAGTCGGAGATTGTCGTGTATCACTGGGGAGGACGTGCAAAATGGTGATTCTACAACAGAGACGAGCTGATAAAGTATATTTTGAATAAACTGTATTTGGATAAACACCACTGAGACTTGAGATGACACTTTTCAGGCAAGACATTGTGACCAGCTGCCCTATAAGTAAGGCTTATTTATGCTCCACTTCTGTACGTAAACAAACTGTCATTGTATTTATACTTCCAAATGTTTCTAATGTCAAGGTCGTGTTCTGTTAAGTAACCACCAGAGGGCGTTAAATGTCAGCTTGAGAATAGGCTCTGTGCACAATAGCACCCGTCAGCCTCACTGTTAGCGTCGCTACTTCCTGTCCAGTGTTATTTCTGTGAAGTTTTTGCTGTTGTACTAAAATGAATACATATATAAATATAGAAGATGAGGCACTGAAATGGGGGATGTGGGTGGATGTCACTGAAAATGTGATAAAAAGTACAGAAATAAAAAAGAATACTTCACTGGAGAACACTGTGAGAGATGTTTGTGTCTCAGTGCTAATGCTAAGGCTAATTTTGAGGCATAAACAAATATTAAAAACAAAAAATTTAAAACTCCACAAACTGAAGTATTCTAAGTATAAAAATAATTATCTTTATTTTAATCAGTTTGAATTCTAATAAACAGATAATTTATTAACACAGCAGATGTGCGCCCGGCCTGAATGCGGAAAGCGCCGCGATCAACATGACGCTGCAACATTAGCTGGCGCTGTTTTCAACACTAAAATAGTTTATCGCCGTGTGATAAAATAAGTTATGATGCTAAATGAACATTAGTGAGTGGGATGCGTCTTAATGACCCATATGCGTTAAATCAGGTGAGTGCATAAATGACGAGAAGGAATGTCTCAAACTTCAGTAGCCTAATGTCGCAATTCTATTGAATGTCGGTAGTCAATAAATCCGAGTCAGTTCTCCCGACATCCTTGGTAAATTCAAATTTGTTCCATTGCAACAGTTGGAGAAAATATGAATGCCCAAGAAAGGTTAATATTGTGTTTCGAAATCCTGATTTGGTTGACTGTTCCTGTTTCTGGAGGTCTCCCCCCCCCCGAGAACCCTCTTTCTGTAGAAGACATGTGCAGTAGAGTGCAAAGTGACTGTTATAAAATAAACAACCTATAGAGAGATTATGTTTTACCATTTTAATAAAAGTGACTGTTTGAGACACAGTGAGTGTGCTGCTGTGCACAAAGCCTATGACCAAAATGGAGAAAATAGAGCAACAAATAAACAGGTTAGATTGCATTTGTTAGAAAATATTCAAGAAAAAAAAAAAAAAAAACAAGGCGAGAGAAGCACTTTTATTTGTTTTGCAGGTGGTTGTAATCGCTTTATAAGAAGTTTAGCTTCCAAAGTTGAGCTGTGTTCTCTACTGCCCCTGGTGGTCAGTTCATGTACAGCTCTGTTGCAAAGAACCCACATGTTCTGAGGAGATGGACCAGATGATGGACAGAACAACACGGGACGTACAGAAGCCTACATGTGTATCCATATTTGTGTAGAACGTAGAGCATAAATGAGCCCTCCACTGACTGCCTGTCTCCATGGAGAATTCATTGCTTTGTAATGTTCCACAATAGGGCATTAAACATATCCATCTTGCATTTCTTTTATTTATTTTTTTTACTGCTAAATACCTTGAAAAGCGTGCATTCTTGCTGTGAGCGTAGCATGATGGTGTCACCTGAACTTCCATGCAGATAAATAAGTTTAATACCATGCTGTGGAACATTTGTGGCAAAGCTACAGCATTGTCATGGCAACAAGCAGGTAGCAGAACCTCCACCTGAAAAGTTACAAAGTGCACTTTTAAATGTTGTTCACAGACTCTGCTATTTGTCAGTACTGGCCTATGTGTTTTTCATATGGTTTCATTCACCAGTGACACCCTTTAGAATTTGGGGAATTCACAATTTCAAAGTCAAATCAAGTCAAATTTTTTGGGCCAAATGATTCTGTTCTCAATGGTCATAATGTTTTGGTTGACGGGTGTATCTGCCACATGTATGTGAAAATAATAAGGGAATATTATATTTATTTTAAGCATGTATTTTGTTGTACTTTCTGCATACTGAGCTTTAGAATTGAGCCAATATCTACACCACTAAAATCAACAGGAAAAATGGTAACTATGTACAAAACTATGCGTTGAAAACATCACTGCTTTATTTATATGATTACAATTATTAAAATGTCTTATAGCTCAAAGTGCTGGAGTTGTATGGTGCAGCTCGATCTGTTTCAGACTTCCTGTCTCTTTTTTGTTATACCTAACTACAGAATGTTTAATAATACATACACTTTTTTTATATTTGGTTTAAAAATACAAAATGTGTCATTCTGAAAAAACTCTTTTACTAATCAGGATCACACATTTTAGGTGAGATAGTTAAATTGTAAGATTATAGCCAAGGGAACATCATGTCCATGGAAACAAGCCATCAGGTTTGTGTAGATGCAAACCCAGTCACAGTAAGGCAACATGGTTTTCCTTGTTTTTTCAGTGCAGTAAATGCCACCATACAGCAAAAAAACATTCTTTTATTTTAGTCTAGTTTTTGAAAAGTTGCATACTGTGGCATTAGGACAAGTATGTTATATATTACTAGCATGCTTCTTCTTAGGGCTACAGATTTAACACACTTCATGTTTGGGTTTAATGCAAATTTATTGCAGTTTTTTTTTCACAACGTACATTTTCAAATATTAAGGATTAAGCAAAATATTGAAAACAGTAAATCTATTTCCTACAACAAAAACATCACATTCAAATAAGAGATTTAAAAAGGAAAATCTTTGCCCTTATGCGCTCCAGTAGCTATTCGTCAAGTGCTCTTACAAATAAAGTTTTTACACATTGAACACAAACACTGGTCACCATCATTTACATGTAAAACAGCAGGACTTCAGAGGTGCTGCAAAACACTCTGGGAAATATGTACACCGTGACTGAGACTGGGTTGTGCTTGGACATCCGTAAGTGCACAGTGCCAAGACACACCCTTTCAGTGATAACAGACTAACAATGTAGAGATGTTCATAAGGGGAAGTAAGTGCTTCTGCAAATTTGGTGTCAAGTTCAGCAAACAAAATTAAGCAATGACTTTTAACGTCAACAAACTGTAGTCATTCAATCTAACATCAAACATCAATATGGCTCTAGTTAAAGATGCACTGTGTAACTTTTCTAATGCAGCGTCCAGCACCACTTGTCTCCATCAATAAGTCATTACTTTGCCTAGAACTTCCCACAGTATGGCATTATAATATCTCCAGGGAGACAAGCAGGTGATGGCACCAAGCTAAGTTATAGATCAGCTGTGTAAAGTGAAAAGCCCATTCACTGCAATGCATGTTTTGTTCTTGTCTTTTTTTTTCTAGCAATAAAAACATATGTAATTTAATCAACGCAAGATATTAAGTTATGAAATATTCCTGGCAAAGCAGTATCATCTCCATGGATACAAACAGGTGGTGGACCCTTAACTTGAAAGTTACACAGTGCAACTTTAAATTACAGAAAAAGATTTGGCTTTCCATGCTAAACTTACTAAAATAGACCAATATTTTAGGACTAGGCCAGCCATAGGAGATAAGAAAATAGATATTCTGAAAACCTGAATCAGAAGACGTGGTACTCTTTTTACTATTCCCAAACCTGGAAAAATGGAGCAGGTTGCATAGGGAAGGGCATCGGGTGTATAAAAAATTACTTTCTTGACCAGCATGACTTCACAGAGGACAGAATTGGAAGAAAACTACGACTTTTTCCATTACAAACTTGTATATGAACAACTCTACTGCCAACACTTCAAAGTACTAATAAAACACTGTATTATAACTTTGCCAAAAAGAGATCACTTACTCCCCCTTCAGGTTACATTGAGTTAGTGCAAGAACAGTAGGCTCACATTTAGGGAGATATTTAAGTATAAACAACTTCTCAGGATGTACAATCTCGTCTACAGCGTGAATAAGAAGAATAAGTAATACTATCAAAACAACAAGTTCATTGAGAAGCACTGAAATAAACTAAGCCAAATGTAAGGAAGCCTATAGTCACTTCTACTTATATGAGCTGGTGGTTGCATTGAAGACTATTTGAAATACTTGTAAGCGTAATGACCTATGACCTCTATAGTGGAAGCAGCGGATAAAGAGGAGATCGAAGTCTTAAAACACTGTAACAGAAATCACAACTTCACTCAGGCTAAAGCAGCAGAAATGTTTTGTACAAAAGTAGTTTCCATCTGAAAGTTGTATCCCTCTTTCACCTACATCACAAGTAAACCAGCTCGTACACGCTTTTCTATCTCATTTTTAACTTTAGCCCTTGCAGATCCTGGTCTCTGTCACATACGTGTTCTCAAAATGGCTGATGGTGAAGCATTCCTCGGCAGCGCGCTTCACGATGCCCCCACCTGCGACAAAATAAAACAAAAAATGTAAGTTAAAAGGTACTGCACATTGTGTAACTTTTCAGGTGGAGGGTCTGTCAAATGCTTTTATCCGTGGAGATGTTATTGCTTTGTCTGAAATGTTTCACAGTATGGTATTTTGTATCTTCATAAAGACCAAACAAGGCCAAGTTACAGGTCAGCTCTGTAGAGAGGCAACCCTACTCACAGTCAGAATGCTTGTTTTTCTTGAGCTATAAAACAATCTATAATTTAATAAATGTGAGACAGAGCTGGTTTATGTCATACTGTGGAATATCTGAAACAGAGTAATGGTATACGCACAGAAACAAGAAGGTGATGGACCCCTAACCGAGAAGTTACAGAGTGCATCTTTCATTTTAAAAGGATTCAGGTAGTTGAAAATGTTAAACAATGTGATAGAATAATACTTAAAAGGAGGGCCTGATATGAGAGGGATTTCATTTCATCTTCATTGTTTGTTTCAATTGTGCAGTGTTGTGATGGTACTTTAAATACACACACACAAATCCAATAACAACTGAAAAGGAGCAGAAAGAAGAAAACATCTTACAATATCTCTCTCTTTGTCGTCTATAAAAATCTAATATACAATGACACAGGATGGTTTGAAACTGTGCACTGTGCATCATTACTCCTCACTGGTACATCCACTAGATGGAGACAAAATGTAAACTTTAACATGTACTAAAAGTCTAATAGCGTAGCCTGATCACTATTTAGTGTTTAAGGATGTAATAGGCAGTAAATGTAATTTTATAAAAAGTTCCTTGCACATGACACAGTATGTTGGGCTTTCCTGAATAGTTTTAGGATTATCTTGACCTTTATAAGAATAGAACATAGTAACACTGTAACATTCAATTGAATAAAGTGTCATTATTTTTAGATGAAATTTACATTCTAGTGTCTCAAAAAAGTGTTTTTTAAAATCATGATGGAATCAAAATTTGTATTGATTTCTCTAGACTTTTCCTTAGTATAAGACTTTAAAATTGTGACAACACTACTCATTACATGTATCTAAAACTGCTCTAAGATGAACCACTCCTTATCAAGCCTCTCCAGATAGACAGTTCTGTTTTAAATGATCTCATAGCTGTATTCTCACACAGACCTAGAGTATACTCACACACTTCTATTTTAAATGATCTCATAGCTGTATTCTCACACAGACCTAGAGTATACTCACACATTTCTGTTTTAAATGATCTCATAGTAGTTATAGTTGTATTCTCACAGACCTTAGGGTACTCACATATGATCTCATAGCTGCATTCTCACGCAGACTGTATAAGGTATACTTACACAGTTCTGTTTTAAATGATCTCATATTAGTTGTAGTTGTATTCTCACCTTGTACAGTGTCACGGCGTTGCATTCTATAAGTCTCTTTCCCGTCACACAGGCGGCGGATGTAGGAGCCCAGAGGTTTGATGTCCTCGATGCGCTCGGTCACTACCAGGTCCTCCTGCACCAGGTAACTGCGGTACGACCCCGACTGTACAAACACATGTACGGCGTATACACACTTACACACACATAACCTGGGTTTGTCACGATAATTACTATATGCTCAATATTTATGTGTACAATTTATTTGCAAAAGGTGGGAAATTTTTGCCATTTCTACATAATACGAAAGTGATATTTAGCTATAGAGGTTAAAATAAATAATGTCCATTGCTAATTATTGGTCTATTTATTTGTGTCAGCTCAGGCCTTTTAAAGACACTGTCTATTTAAACACTGGTTTACTTGGATTACCCAGCTTTGTGTCAGTGGCAAAAAGTTTCAGTTATTTTCAATATGATTATTTATAGCAATATTTCTCTGTAGCAATATATCATCTCACCATGAGCTGAGAAAAGAGATCGAATGAGGTCTTGAGGAGGCAGCACAACAGAGGTGTTCAGGGGGATCACGAAACAGGTACGCAGGGTCAGGTCCAGGTACGCTGTCAGCTTCTGCTCCCACAAAATAAAACACAAATAATGCAGAAAATACACCTACTGTACTACTTCATTAAAAGTGCTTTTTGCTCCAAGAGGACCCAGAAGAACGGTCAACTGCTTGTCAGTAGCAAAACTAGTAAATTCTAAATTTAAACTGACTTTTAACCTACACTGACTTTTACTTACTTTATTTGGAAATGGGTTTGTGTTGCTAGGTTTTGTGTGGATTGTTTCATGGTGATTATACACTTTGTTATGAATTACTAATATTTTACAAAAATAATTTATTGTACACAGCCTAATATGTTTAAATAAATACTGATTGCATGATAAGTCATTGCCACCCTAAACTAATTATTATTCAGTGTTATAACATTATTCATCTGTGCAGTGAAATTATTATTGATCAGTGAAAAATGTCAGGAAGTATAAAGTCAACTCTTTCAACACTGTAATAATATACTGGGGGTGTGATGGTAAGCATAGGCACTGCTCTGTCTGAGGCTTTATTAGACTTTAATCTGTGCTTAATTAACACACAATATGACCATAAAGCACTGACTTAGCATGAACTACAACAGATGAGATGATTTGTGCTGTTAAATAAGTCTCTCACACATAATGTTACATTACAGTCTAAACAGGATCATGAATGCTTTTATTGATCACAGACTCCGGAAAATTTGTTGCTTAAATCTATTTTGTGTTTTTTTCTTGAGTGTTCAGTCAGTCTTTAATCTTTTTTGACAGTGTTTTCTAATGCGTGCATTGTGTCACCATGGTAAGTCATAAGCAGCCTCACCCTGTTGAAGTCGTGGAGGATGTACGCAGGGTCTCCTGGTCTGAAGCGTGGAGGAGGGACACTGATGACGGCCATATTATCTGAGATCTCCATCTTCTCCTCCACCTGCGGCAGGTAGTAGGGCTGTGCCTCTACTCCAGAAGATCCATCATTAAACTGCATTGAGCCGTGGTACAGTCGCTGTGGGCAACACACACAGGATTAAGTATTATATTACAGTGTGTTTTATTTGATTATCTTTATACCAGTTTGAATCTTAAAGGTGCACTGTCTAACATTTCTAGTGGGTCCACCACCTACTTGTCTCCAAGGAAATGTTATTGCTTTGTCTAGAATGTTCCACAATACAGATTATACCTGTCTATCAAGAGGGAGACAAGTAGGTTACAGCACTAAACTACATTACAGTTCAGATCTGTGGAGAGTCGCCCCTATTCACAGAAGGGATGATTGTATTTTTGAGCAACAGAAACACCCATAATGAATAAATGCTAGATGGATATGTTTAAAACTATTATTCTAGTTAGTTTGGTTACACTGAAATATTTTTAATGTTTATTTTTCTTAATGTTTGAGTGCATATTTCTGTTCTCTTGTTGTCATTGACCTTTGTGTTGCAACACTGGAATTTTAATAAATAAAAGGTTCTCATATTGTACCTTAATAACCAACTAAATACAGATTAAAATATAGATATAAGACAAGCATATAACTGACCAAAGTGTGCTTTTTTGTCATCAACAAAATACGGCAAAGTAGTTCTTAAAATATTTCTTTATTTATCACATGAATTTTCAACATTATACTTGTGCATTAAGACATACTAATAATAAGCATACTAATCTGAATGTGGTAAAACATGTCTAAAATAAAGGTTCATTTCCTATTGATATTTCTGACTTAAGCTGTATTTTTGCATAACATTAAATTTATGACAAGTCAGGGAAACTAAATATTTTCTCTAATGTAACAACAAAACAAAACAAAAACATTTTCTATATTATTGCTTATGCATTTTAGGCCATAGTAAAACCAATACTTTCATATATAGGTAGTCTAGTGATATGTATAGTCAAAAAAAAAAAAAAATTACTGGTATAAAAGTAGTTGAGTTTAGTCTAATGAAATGTGTAAGTGCAAAGCTGTAATTGCAGTGGGGACTAATGTTTCCAGAAACACAGTATAATCTGGAGCCAACTAAAACTGAAATAAACTAATCACTACACAACTCAACGACTTAAACTGAAGTATAGAAATAGAAATTCAAACAAGCTCTTGTGAAAGTTTGTTGGAAAAAAGAAGTGTCTGAGAATAGGCATTATAGTGTTGAACAGAGACCATTTTAGCTTCAGGTTAATCCACAGACACCTTAAAATAGCTGAGACCAGTGGCTTACTTCCTATACACACCACTATGTTTAGTGTGTCAGGAGAATAGGCGAGAGCATGTATTTCTTAAAGATGCACTGCACAACTTTTCTGGTGGAGGGTCTGCTACCTACTTGTCTCCATGGAGATGGTATTGCTTTCCCTGGAATATTCCATGGCATGACATTAAACATATCCATCTAGCATTTATTCATTAAGAGTATGCCTACTGATCAAAAATACATTCATTAGTTTTGTGAATAGGGGCGACTCTCCACAGATCTGAATTGTAATGTAGCGCAGTGCTATAACTTGCTTGTCTCTCTTGTGATAGACAGGTTTAATTTCTACTGTGGAACATTCTAGACAAAGCAATAACATTTCCATGGAGACTGTACTTTCTACTCCATTACATTTTTGAACAGGACTGAAATGTAACAGCATTTTTCATTACTGTTTGAGATCTGGAGATAAGGCTGAGAGTTTATTTTTAACATTTTCATAATTAGAGCAAACAAAATTATACAAATAAAAACAGTAACAAAAATATGACTGATGCAGTTGTTTCTGTTTAAGAAAATTCAACACAAATCTGTATCAAAACTACTACATTTGAAGCCTTTTTAGAACTCAAATATGAGTGTAATACTATCAAGTTTACTCTAATTTTTAAGTAGATTTTTTCATGTGATACTTTTACTTTTACTTGAGCATTTCTTTGCTCCGGTATCTGTACTTATACACTTTTACACAAACTCTATTTGTTCCAGGACTGGTACAATAGTGTGTATTTTGTACTGTGTGTCCATAACCTTTTACAAATGCTGGCAGCTACAGAGGCAGCCCACACATGGTTAGTAGAAGTTGCACTGCCCACAACTATTCTAGACTTTTCCATTAGAGAAAAATACAAAGAGTACTAATTTACTTGATAATGGTAAAATAAACAGTGTTTATGGAATAAACTGTTCCACAGTATGGCATTACTCTTAGTTATCTCTATGGAGACAGCAGGCAATATTATAGGGCCAAGATATGTCTGATCTATGGAGAGGCAAGCCCATTCACAGTAAGAATGCAAGTTTTTTAAGTCAATGAAAACAGGTTTGATTGAGTAGATGCAAGATGGATTCCTTTAATTCCATACTGGGATATTCCAGACAAAACAATAACATCTCCATGGAGACAAGCTGGTGGTGGACCCTCCATCAGAAAAGTTATGCAGTGCCCCTTTAAGCATGGTTGGGCCTTTAAATGGATGTAATAAGACTAAATCAGGCTGATTATGACCTAGAATGTCTAATAATGTTTGAACTTTTATTCATACAAAGCTGTTCTGTAGTGATTTAAAGTATAAATAACAGTTACATAACACAGTTGGATCTCTTGTGTAATGAGTTTACTGTGTTTTAAGAAAAATATGACACTATTTTCTGGTCTGTGTTATAATGTTGTTTCCTCATCACAAACAGACCTGGAGTTATGTTTTGTTTCATTCACACATTTAACACACAAAACCTGCATATTCAGTCCGAGTTCGTCTCTATGAAAACCCACCTTGTGATGTCATGTGGTAGTTCAGGAAGTGCTCCACTCTGTTTATAAACTCCACACACTTTCACTAGAATCATTTTGATAATTTCCTAGAATTTCCAATCTCTACTGAACGGAAAGTAAAAGGTACCCCTTAGCTTGAAAACTACCTCTTCATGACATCACAAGTTGGAATAGAGCATTTTGAGCTTTGGAGATGTAGACAGACTGATAATAAAGGGTTACTCAAACGTGTGAAACAAAACAACTCGGGTATATTTTGATGAGGTGACAACATTCTAACATGGCTTAAAGCTCACAAGAATCCATTTTGTGTAATACAGCACTCATAAAGACATGTTAACTATTCTGCGTGTAACATCACAAAACAACATTTTTGCTATGGTGCATTGTGTGAATTGTGTGGAGGGTTCATCAAATACTTTTCTCTGCGGAGATGTTATTGCTTTGTCTAAAATGTTTCACAGTATGGAATTAAACCTTTCTATCTTCATGGAGACCAAGACAGACCAAGTTACAGGTCAGATCAGTGGAGAGGCGACACCGCTCACAGTCAGAATATCTGTATTTCTGGTTATTTCTGAGCCACGTTTAATTGAATAAATGTAGGGATGTGTTGTGTCAAAAATGATATATATCTCTTGAACATAAATAATGAATCCATTTGTGAAGCCCGATGAGTTTTTGGAATATAGACCAAGGTTTATTCTTGTTACAGCAGATATGGACAGGGCCTAGGCCTGTTTCGGCCAAAGCCCAACAGCCTCTCACCCTGTCTCCCCCATGTCCCCTTCTGTCTCTTCCCATCTCCCTGCCCAGAGCATTTGAGCTCTGAGTATTTATACAGAAATACATGTTACATACATATCAAAGCAGAGTGACTTTGGTTTCAGAGGGTGGTACTAAATTAACATACAGTTGAGGACAACAAAAGGCTTCCTGAAGGCGGAGACAGTTGTGCCTGATGAACCTTTACACATGTTAATGACTGGTCTGGGTTTCAGGTAGAAATCACATTAATTTACACAAGACAGATTGAGAGAAATCTTTCCACAATCTAAATTTCTATCACAGATGTAACAATAACCGTAATATTGTGATATCGTATAGTCAAAGTTCTCACAATAATATCGTGGACCATCACAATATATCGAATTACAAGTCTCTTTGCTTAAATGAATAGTTACGGTGCACAATATCTAAAAAAAAGACAGAGGGAACTACATAGACCATGATCCTTTGCTCCATTTCAGTGTAGATGACAATAAAAAATAACAGTTCTAAGCACTTTCAAGTCTTTGTTAACTGTTTTTCCTCTTAAAATGCCTTGAAAAGACTGAATCCAAAGAACTGTTTTGTTAGCCTGCACAAAATATCTCAATAAACATCCTACCGTGAGGTTCATACCGTGACGATATCGTATCATGAGATTTGGATATCGTTACACCCCTATAGAACAGAGCTGTTTAATGTTATACTATGGAACATTCCAGGCAGAAATATGACATATCCATAGAAACAAGAAGGTGATGGACCACCAACCAAAAAGTTACACAGTGCACCTTTAATTGGATACTTGGTTGGCTGAAATTACCACATATTTTACTTTTACTTATTCCTTTTCCTTCAACAGTGAGACTGATTGTACAATAACTCAAGTCTGTTCGTCTTTACTCAGCACCGGCCCAAATAGACCACTGTGCACTTTTAGAGAAGGGGAAGCTACTGTCAGCAACATCCCCTCTCAGAGAATGTACCAGAAGTCACAAGGAAAACACCACTGAAACTGAAAATAAACACACATTTTTGGGCTTCTTGGTAACTTTAATTTCCACATATTATTCTAATTTAGTTATAATATTATTTGACATTATTGAAACAAACACATGCTTTCAGACTTATTTCTTTTCTTTTTGGATTAAGCCCCTTTAAAAGCCCCCTATGTGGAAATGAGGCTTACCACAAAATAACTAGAAAAATAGCAGAACAGTTGCGTAATTTGTAATATATATTTTGGCAATTTCTCTTTAACTTTTTTCTTTTGTATCTGAAGCAACCAATAATGTAACAATGGCTAATAATGTAATCATTTTGGCAAGTTTAAATGTAATAACAGGCCAATAACGTTATAACTACAGTGAGGCAGTAACATTAATAATGCTTTGACAATAATGACTAAACTATGGCCGCAGTTATTACATTAGTACTTGTCCTATAACACTTAAAACAATGCATCTGGTTTAATTCTGTGTCATTGCTATGCCAATATTAAAGGTGCATTGTGCAACTTTTCTGGTGGAGGGTCCATCATCTGCTTTTTTCTATGGATATGTCATTGCTCTGCCTTGAATGTTCCACAGTATGACATTAAACAAATCTACCATATTTTTCGGACTATAAGTCGCACTTTTTTTCATGGTTTGAGTGTTTCCTGTGACTTATACACCGGTGCGACTTATATATTAACATTTTCAGACTGACAGCCACGAGAGAGTGCTCTAGGTTTGTGTGTCAGTATCTAGTACTACTTTTACTCCTGTACCACTGTCACTTCGCAGTCTACTGCGCATGCCTTCTGTAGAAATAGCCACTGTCTTGCTGCGATTAGTGAAATATGCAGCTGAAAACAGTAATCGAGCAGCAGAAAGAAAGTTTGGAGTGAGTGAGAAACTTGTGAGGGACTGGCGGAAAGCAGGAAAGGGGAGCACAGCTTCACGGCAACCGGGCAGGTGCGCCATGTAACTTTCCTGGAAATTCAGAAAGGCCGGAATAATTCTAACTGGAACTGATGCTGGGTCTGATGGCAGCTACACAGAAGAGGAAGCGGCGCTCTGTTTAACTCATGGATCTATGGTTTATCTGCGGGGGTCACGCAGAAGTGACACCAAGGATGAAGAATTCAGTGGATTTGGTGATTTGGAATGAGGTCGAGAGTTTGATAAACTTATGTTCTGTTGTTTGCTATAATTATCTGAATAACTGTTCATATGTAACGTTAACATATTAACGCCTGTTCAGCCTGTTGTTCTCAATTCTGTTGTTATTACTATAACTTGCCTTTCAAGATGAAATGTCAGTTCCTGGTCTCTGATTATAAAAAACACATTTCCCCAAAAAGTGTGAATTGTAGTCCAGTGCAATTTATATATATTTTTTCTTCTTCATTGCACATTTTTTAGCTGGTGCGCCTTATACTCCGGAAAATACGGTACCTTACATGTATTCAATTTAATGGTTTTATGGCTCAGAAATACTGTCTGGTTTGGTCTCTATGAAGATAAAAAGGTTTAATACCATATTCTGAAACATTTACAACAAAGCAATACCATCTCCATGCAGAAACGCATTTAACGGAACCCGCACTAGAAAAGTTACCCAACGCACCTTTAACTTACATATTCCGTATTAATTATAACCAACTGATATGTAGACAGTTTCGAATTGCTAACCTAAAATGTTCTTCCAATTCTCGTTTTGAAGAAACATATGATTGAATGTGTTGTAGGCATATTATTGTAACAATTAATATTTATTTTACTTGCCCATTTTCTCTTTAACTAGTGATTTTTCATTGATGTTTTCATGCGCTGTGACCTTGAATTTTACACTTTTACACTTGTGCGATATCTGTTCAAGCCGATTTATACTCACTTAAATCTAAATGAAATAAGCAAGCCTTTTTCGCATTGATACTTTGCAGTGACATCATGCTGGGGGTGGTCTACATGTATATCTATTGACATAATGTTCAATTGCAGTGACACAATGCACACATTAAACTGCCAAAAGTCTGAAAACTCAAGTAGAAATACAAAATGGATTTAAACAGCACAATTTCAGGAGCTTGTGATCAATACGAGTGTTCATGGTCTGGTTTAGGTGTTTGATTTTCAGCAAAAAGGTGAGAGTGACTAAGAGTTTCTAGCAGAGCAGTGCTTTCAGTTAGCATCACACCCCCAGGGAAAGTTGATGACATCCGCTGCAAAGTATCAATAGCCTATAGATACATATTGAAAATGACTACCGGTAGCTGGGTAACCATAATCATAATACAGTAACCGTGGCACAGACCTTGGGGGTGAAATAGCGGTACAGACAGGCCCCTCCCACGATGAGGCCGCTCAGGATGAAGGCGATGCCCAGCAGAGTGAGCAGACAGCGGCCGGTGGAGCCCTCGCTGGGGGCGGGGGGACCAGCCAGCTCTGGGTCCTAAAACATACAGAAAATATGCTGAAAAATGCTGAAGAAAATACAGACGATAAACAAGAATACTGAATCCAAACCATGAAGCAGAATTATCCACAGAAAAGTTTTCTAAATATACAATACTGGTAAATATTTTTGAGCTGTATAAATGAATAGCAGAATGGAACACTTAAGTAATTGGTTGAATGAGTTAAAGGTATTTCTGATGGAAGATCTGCCACCTGCTTGACTCGATGGAGATGTTTGTTTGGTCTTATGTTGTCTTATGGAGATGTTATATTTTGTTTGGAATGTCCCAGTATGGCAGACATGTCAAACTCAGGCCCGGGGAACAAATTTGCCCCGCAATATAGTTGTATTTGGCCCACGAGATCATATCAAATATGTATTAGAGCTGGCCCGCCGGTTACAGATAGACTATAGAGAGATTATATAGAGACGTCACTTTTGCGTCTTTGGTTCAGACCGTCATCACATAAATGTAGCCTAAATCTAAAAAAAAAAAAAGTACATACAATGGCCAAGTTTAAATGTAAAAGCCTATAATGTAAAAACCTGCCAGTAATGTAATAACAGTGAGAAAATAACTTAATAACACCACAGCAGCTCAACAACAGCTCTTCATTTTTTGGGTTTGCCAAATTTATAAAGTTAATTTTGTCCACTTTTTCCTTTTGATAATTTCTTGTTTAGAACTACAGTGGAAATAATGTAGTCCACTTTAGACCTGGTTTAGTCCTAGATTAGACCCAGAATAGTCCTGTTAGACCTCGTTTAGATCTGGAGGTACATGATGTGAAAAGTTTGACAGCCACATACTTATTTCATGCTTTTATATTACTGCCATAGTTTTTACATTATTGGTCTGTTATTAAATTATGGGACTTATTACATTTAAACTTGGCCAAAATGTTTGGGCTATTAGTTGCTATAGTCCACCTCAGTGAACAGCTGGTTTAGTCCTAGGTTTATCCCTGGTTTAGTCCTGGTGTAGTCCTAGTTTTAATTCTAGTTTAGTTCTGGTTTTAGTTCTAGTTTAGTCCTAGTTTTAGTTCTGGTTTAGTCCTAAATTTAGCCCTGGTTTAGTCCTGGTTAAATTCTAATTTAGTCCTAGGTTTAGCCCTAGTTTAGTCCTGGTGTGGTCCTAGTTTTAATTCTAATTTAATCCTAGTATTATCCCTGGTGTAGCCCTGGTTTAGACCCAGTTTAGTCATAGATTTAGTTCTAGTTTAAGTCCTAGTTTAGTCCTGGTTTAGACCTGGTTTGGTCCTAGATTTAGTTCTAGATTAGTCCTAGTTTTATTCCTGGTTTAGACCTGGTTTAGATCTAGTTTAGTCCTAGATTTAGTCCTGGTGTAGTCCTAGATTTAGTTCTAGATTAGTCCTAGTTGTATTCCTGGTTTAGACCTGGTTTAGATCTAGTTTAGTCCTGGTTCAATTCCATCTATATACATACACATTTTATTTTACTCTTTAAAAAATTTTTAAAAAGATATATTTAAAACGATTGAGATGAACCCTTTTTCACATGTCCATTTGTTTGAGACCCATGTGATCTGTTTTGCATGCTTAAAAACACCATATTTCTTGCAGAAGTTTTTGCAGAAGCTCTAAAACGTTCTCGAACATAACACTTTAACACTTTCATATCACACATCAACATGGGAGGAAAAAAATCTCATCCAAAAATATCTGATCAGCAAAATGGTTTCCTCTTAGTGATAAAGGTCAAAACCACAGAACATTCTGTATTACATTAAATAATACTTGAGTCTCCCCTAATAATGTCAAACACTGTGACTGGTAACATTGGGTGCACAGTTTGTAATTTCTTAAATTTTATTGATTCACAAGGAAAATTATTTAGACTCTGTAGCTCACAGCATATTATAATAAAGAGAAATGGTATAATATATTCTAAATAAGTAGCAGAAATAGCAAAAGACTGATGTCAAATAAGGCATTATAATTATATGGCATTAGTCTCTTGCTGTTTCTATGACATTGTTTTAGTGAACTGTGACCTTTTCTTTCTGTTCTTTCTTGTTTTATTCAGTTACAAAATTAACTTTGGAATCCAACAAGATACAAATACCAAGCTTTGTGCAGAAAATACATCTAAATCCAATTCCAAATCCTTAAAAATCTGACCCGGGTTTACAGGGGAGCAAAAAGGCGCATTGCAACCTCATTTAAAATAGTTTGCCCCCCTCATTTTAGATGTTAAACGTTGCCTCAGCACTCCTTTGATACTCAGAAGCACCCTCAGTCAATTTGGTCTGCACAATGCAAATATTCACTAAAATTCAATAAAAAAAAAATATAAACGTGAAAAATGAATTTTGACAACTAAAATGACTAAAATACTCCACATACGATTTTCCTCAATAGTGGATCATATTTTTTAATAGGGTGACCAGATTTTCAAAATAAAAGCAAAAGAACTGGGACATACCTGGTTTGGGTTGGTTGGTAATAATAAAAATGTGAAATTATTGTGTAATTAAAGAAAACTGTTCTGCACTTGGCACTAATGTGAGTAAGTATAGTCACATTTTCTTTGTGTTTTGGTCGTTTTTAAGCAGCTTTTCTGTATTTCACCTAAACAAATCTCAATGTCTGCCTCTTTTTACTCTTGGCAGGATCGGATTGGTGAAAAATAGGGACACCAGAGACATTTCTTGAATAAAACTGGGACAAATCAGCTGGGACAGGGGACACAGGGCTCAAAACAGGGACAGTCCCGGGTAAATAGGTATGTCTAGTCACCCTACATATTAAACGTGTGTTCATAATGTCCATTGGGCTAATCAGATGACAAACTATATCTATTTTTCTTAAATTAAGACACATAATCAGATCTGAATCGTTCGCAGACGCGCAGTAGCTTAAGGTGTCGTATATCCTGCACGGGTCGCATCCTTGGATCCATGCGCACTAATCCAGATGGATGTTTGGCCTGAGTCTGACAGCTGTTAACATGGGCGGTCCTTTCCAGTGCTGTCTGCTGCATCAGGTGCAAAACGCAAAGATGCGCTCAAAACTCAAAACGCACCATTTACTTGCAGAAAAGCGCAAATACACACGTCCAAATGTAAAGGGATTTGTGCAAAGGATGCGCATGGATTTAGCGTCTGGAGAGGCCTGTTCCAGACTGCACCGTTAGCTTACCTTCATCGCGACTGGGATCTCCTTCCCCAGCCCCTTGTGCGCCAGGGCAGCGTTAAAAGCGATCTTCACCATGTCCGCAGACCCGTGTCACTGCTCGGTGTGTGTGGTTTTCACGCCGCGGTGAATGTTTTGGCGCTGAACCTGCAGTCTCCCGTTCACTCTGAGCAGCTCGCCTCTGTGACGCACTTTGCAACCTCGGCTTTATCTAGCGCTTCCGGTGTTACGGAGAGATTGGCATCCCTTTGTTTCTGCTGAATGTCGCGTCCGTTCCAAGTCTTTGCAAGAGTGACCACTTCAATAGTATCAGACAAGCTATGAGAAGATGCCGTCTATTTGTCTTATTCCACCCAGGCCTGTTTGCTTTTACGTAAATTTAATCTTCATAATATAAACGGTACGGCAACATTAAGGATTGAAGCAACCGTTCAGAACAATCAAAAGTACAGTTTAACATTTATCAAAATATGTTTCTTATGGTTAATAAACACTATATTTTCAGAACATTTTTTTTTAAAGCAATAGGCTAAATGCAGTTAGTTTAGCAAGCACACTGGTCTTGTCGGTGCCACATTTGACAATTCAAACATGCTAAATGATTTGTATTTTCAGATATAGCCAACAAATATCAAATGCCCCCCGTAGACTTTGTGTACAGCATAAATGCGTTTAAATCTGCAATAACATCAAAGAATTATCACTTAGCCAAGCTGTTGGACATGTGCATAGTTGGACGGGGATGCGTAATTACGCACAACACCGGGATTAACGTACAAGACTAAACGTAAGACAATTGCTAAACTGTGATATTATACACAAAAATACACAAAAATACATGCAATTAAAATATTTACAATAAGTGTTTTATTTGACATTTTTAAGGTTGATTTATTTAGGCGAGTTTCTATGGCGTTTGTAGCTTTAGCTCTATCTGCTGGCCATAAATGGTACTGCACCTTCTAAGTGCTTAACTCGGCGTCCATTTGATTAGATTGAGCCAAATGCGCAACGACACAAACTGTTTACACTTTCAGTTTGACTTTCCTGACTTTACAAATTTCATATTTATACTACGTGGCATTAAAATGACTCAATCAGGAGACGGCTGTAATGAATTTAAGATCTTTCCACTGTATAATGCGGTCTTTTCATAATTTAACACAGTGTAAATACCGCTGCACTCTCGCACAGCAGGGTAGGGCGGTACCTGCCAGTGTCTGCCGGCGCACTCACGCTACGCACGGGACAGAGTGGAGACGCAGGCCGATGCCAAAGCCGTACAGTTTACAGTGACACATGGGGCTGCGGTGGTCCCTGCCTCCTCCACTCTCCGGACTCACTTAAACGTGTTCATGAAGGTAAATAAACACTTGCTCTGCTCATTTAGTCTGCTCAGTCCGTGGATTCATTCACATAGAAACTGTAACACTGTCTGCAAAAGCACACGACTGTAGGATGGATACGTAGCCTACTTTAGGTCTAGATAGTGTAAGTGTTAACAAATATTTGTTATTCGTCATTTGTAGGGCAAAAAGCCAAATTATTTTAATTTTTTAATCCTATAACCTGCATAAAGGTGATTGTGTATATTTAGTTTATATATTGAAACTAAATATTGAATAAAATGTAAATGTACGCCTACTCTTTGTGTGCTGTTTATACTGGCAGCTAATCTTTCCAGTAGAGATGGTGCAACTTCACTTCCTAACTGACCATCTGCTTTCAACACATTATTTTACTCTTACTGAAAATTACTGCCCCATGATCTTACCCGTACAGTGTGTTTTACATTTCTGCACACTTAATGAGCTTAAACATTTGGCGGTTTTCTTTCTGCATTGTCACTGAGCAAGACACTTCATTACTTGCCTGTAAGAAATTGCAGAGGAGAATTATTATGACGCATGGGCCTTGAGAATGACAGGCGCATCTTTGTCATCACTGTGCACCGATAGCTGCTGTAGTCTTGTTACTGAACTCAACAGAAAAAAAGTGATTCATTGTCCAGGCAGTAGTTATCAGTGTGTTTAAGCATCCACTATCAGACATGTCAAACTCAGGCCCAGGGACCAAATTTTGCCCAAGATATAATTATATTTGGATAATTATCAAATATGTATTAGAGCTGCCCGCAGGTTACAGATAGGCTATAGAGACTGTTACGACCCAGCTCGCTTGGGGTGAGGGAAGTAACAAAAAATAACCAAGATGTTAAATGGAATAAATGAAATAATGTAAAGGTAAATTAACAAAACAGGCTAAAATATATACAGAAAATAACCTAAACTAAGAAAACAAAACAATAGACAACGACTTTTGTGCCACAAAAGGGGTCACGCGGGCTTACACAAAACGAGTGGTAAATCTAAGGGACACACACGAACTAAAACACAAGTTCCCCAAATTAAACCACATAAGCCCACAAACAGAATCGAGTGACCATATTAAAAATGCACAAAATCAAACTAAACTACAGACCTAAGCACACGGACAAACACAAACACAAAATGGCAGACTGACCACCAAGGCCAGCAGCCCCGAACAGGTTCTGGTAGTCTCCTTAAGTAGGGGGCGGTGGCTGCAGGTGAGGCGGGCATAGACGTGCCCCACCAATCCCGGGCCAGGACTCCCACAGCAGGAATCAGGAGTGCTCAGCAAAATAATTTACAACACACAAAACAAATTAGAAGAAAAGACCTGGGGCTGTAACAGAGACATTATTTATTTAAAAGTTTGTTTAATATTGTATTTTATTTTATATTCTGCTTGTTCTGGATTCAGTGTTTAAGCAAAACTATTATGAAACATTTATTTTTTATAAGAAAAGATTTAATATTTCATTTCTTGAAAATTTTCAGTAAATATTTAGTTTGGCTTACAACTTAGTCCCAGTTTTTCATTTTGGCCCTCTGTGAATTTGACACTCCTGCACTTATGTTCTGCCTGGTCTTTTAAAATGTCCTGTGTTATTATTGTAATAACAAAAGCAGACAAAATCAACAATCAGATATATATATTTTTTAAATATATGTTTATTAAGGACATCACAATGACATTGGACAAGCCAGATGTACTGCTTTGAGTATTTGAGCACAAGTGGTAGTTTTCAGCACCTGTCTATGGAAAAGAAAATAAATAAATAAATAAAAATAAATAATAATAATAATGATAATAATGATAATAATATACAGGCATAAAAACAGGTAAGTCACATTTGTTACATACTACTACTACTACTACTACAGCTATGCAGTGTTCTTACATTTTCAGTGAGAGCATTCTTGGTTGGAAACATAGAATAATTTTAATTTACTTCTATTAATCATTATTATTATTATTATTTGTTGCAATTGGTTGGTTGCAATTGGTTGCTGCAAATTTTAAATGAGCTGGTAAGCAGTTCCACAGTCTGGTCCCTCTGCCAGAGAAAGAGGACAGATTAGGAGCTGTCCTGTACATTGGGACAACACAATTACCACAAGTAGCACCTCTTGAAATACTGTAGCTCTGTGTGTACATTTTATGGTCCTGGCAAATTCTGAATTCAGTGATTATCAGAGTTAAAACACTCAAAAAATAACTTAAGATTATTCAAATTAGTATCATTTTCAAAGTTAAATAGTTTATGTTTCTATAAAACTTCATAGTGAGGAGAGGTTTCGATGTGGTTGAGGAGCTCAACAGAGACAACTCACTGTAGTTTCCATAGTAAGTTTTCCGTTTATTTTTTCCCATATAATCTTCGAAAAGCTAATACCAATGGCACGAATGTTTTAAATTCAAGAATGATATTTAAACTGTAAGATTCTAGCTTTTAAAATGATAAAATGATAGGTCTTGTGGTCATTCTGCTTATCTTTATATTTCTTGCTATTTTCTTTCCTGTTGTTAAAGGTGCACTACATAACTTTTCAGATGGACCGTCCGCCACCTGCTGTAATTTCTTCCGCCTGGAATATTTCGTACTGTCATTTGCGTAGCTGTCGAACACGCGTCCGTACAGTTGCACACTCCACTGGACTGTTCACGGGCTCTGACATCTCCACAGCTAAACAGACAGATTGGACCGGTAATCACCACTGAAAGGTACATAAACATAGCAGCTGATTTCTGCACTTTCTCCCTCTTCGTCCCCCCCTCCTCTTCCTCGTCTCCCCCAAAACTCTAAGTGGTCCTGAAAGCCTGTTTATGAGCTCGACTTACGCTGCGTTTGATCTGAGGGGCTGCCCACACACGCACACACGAGACTGGGTTAGCGCGAGCAGTAATAGCCAAGATCATAAACAAAAGACTTAAGTTTAATCCGGAGGGCTTCTCACACAACAGTAAAGTAAGTGGGGAGAGGGGGACCCCGGTTTGGGCTTAAGGGGGGGCTTAGGGGTCCATGTATGTATTATGTTCATATACATTTGGGGTGATGTGGTTTGCTGATGCACAATTGTAAAGTGATGACTGGAGAAAGTAACACGGAGAAGTTGGAGCAATCTACAACATGTGATGCTTGAGTGAGTTTTCCGAGGGGCTGATTAAACTGTACGTCCACACAGTTTACGGCTCAAACTCTGAAACTTAATGCACAGTTAGCTGGGGTTTGAGCTGGGAAAGAGCGGAGGAAATGGCCACCACCGGAGAACAAAATCAGTGGAGAAGTGTATTTGAATACTTTAATGACTTAGTTGTCTCTTATCATTTAAAACAACAATATCACGGTATTTTCTGGTCTTTGTTATAATGTTTCCTCATCCAAAATATCCCTGGAGTTGTGTTTTGTTTCACTCACAAAAGTTTAACTCCCAAACCCTGCATGTTTGGCTGAGTTCTTCTCACAAACTGAAAACACACTGTTCCACCTTGTGTCCACACCCTTTCACTAGAATTATCTGGATTTGCATTTTACAGTCTCTGTTGTACAAATAGTAAAAGGACCTGTTAACTTGCAAACTGCTGCTTCATGACATCACAAGGTGGAATAGAGCGTTTTGAGCTTTAGAAATGTAGACAGACTAATAATAAAGTGTGAATGAAACAAAACACAACTCCACGTATGTTATTTGAGAAGGTAAAAGCATTCTAACTTGTCTTAAATCTCACAAGAGTCAATTTTACGTAACATAGGACCTTTAATGCTCAATGTGTCAGTGTAAAATTTTAAATTTTGATTGATTTTAATACACAATGGTAACAAAAAGGGTGTGTTTTTTATGTTATTGCCAA